ACATATTCTATACTGGGATCCCTATGCAGTGTATGGCACATATTCTATACTGGGATCCCTGTGCAGTGTATGGCATATTCTATACTGGGATCCCTGTGCAGTATATATGGCATATTCTATACTGGGATCCCTGTGAAGTGTATTGCATACTCTAAACGAAAAAAGAATAGCATTTTATACAGAGTTCACTCTGAAGTCAGTGAATATTGAGTTATTGGGACATAGCTTCCCAATTACTTTGACAGATTCTTCCTTTATTATTATGTACTCACCCTGAAGGCGGTGGGCTGGATGAATTATTGGACATTTTGATCACCAATCAGAAACTAATCGACTTTCCCGCTAATAAAAATCATAATTTACATGATTGATTATTACATCCATTGCATAACGAAATCATTATCATCCACAACGAGTCATTAATAGAAGAAGATATGAAACACACAGATTTTATATCAAGTGCATTTGTGTTTGGCATATATTAAAATACATCAAATATTGAATACCGCAGTCTATACTATATAGAGAATTTTACATATGCACGCCGGGACCTTGGATTTGATCTTTAAGAGATGAAGATATTTCTCGCTAGTGAGCAATTTGAGAAACATAAGTTTTTCATGTATGATTATAACGATAGTTATGTTATTGAACCTGACAGCGTTACACACCATATCATAGTTTGAAAAGTTCAAATAGTTTATTCATAATTATCCAGTCAAGTATGTCTGACTTATCTAGAACATACTAATAATATTTCTATATTGTGAATAGATACTAACAATAAATACTCGTATAGATTTCTTAATAATTTGATATCTAGCAGATTAGTGTTGTTTCCTAAGTTAACATAGCAATGCTGAGAAATAAGCAACAATGCTACGCGTGATAAATGACTGAAAATCGTGACTGCTAGCCAAGCGAAACGTTTAATCTATTTCTCAATAGCAACTAATCTAGTAGATACATGGTGGTTATTGCACGAATCATAAATATATTTGAAAAAAGTTTAAAACATTTTGTTAAGCGTTAAAATCATATAACGTACCTAGTAGACATGTTTTTTTTTTTTTGAAAAGTTGTACTTTTCTTACATGCGGCTTTACCTCATAACATGACAAAGTTTTGCAAACTAACTTCTTGCAATTGTAATATGCTATCATAAGTACTAAGGATTGTGTGTGCTTACACTGTCAAAACGAAGGCTACYCATCGTCTATATCTATTGGTATCAAATAGTTTTGTCAACACTATTAGTTTTTCTATTATTCGAACTACAAAAATTGTGAAGGAGATGGTGATGTCCGTGCGGTGTGAAGCGGGCTCCCCAAATCAGGGCTWTTAGCATTGAACAGCATTCTACAAGCGATGTTTCTACCTCTGAATTGTTGTGACTATCTAGAGATAGCAATGTAAGCCAATCATTACCTGTAGTTAGTCTTGTGGTTCGTCTTCAATCAGTCAGTGCGTGAATAGCGTCTCTTGAAACCTGTTTTTTTATGTTTCACGTCACACTTCATCAGTGTTTGCACTCAGGCAATATACATCAGGACTAATGTAGATTACGATGGGGATGGTGGTGGTGATGATTTTGTCTCCAGTTTTAATATTTTGTAAAATGCCACAGTGTCTATACAAAAACATGAACAAGATAAGAAGTGATTGATTATTTTACAGTGAAAATATCTACAGCAGCACACTAAATTACAACTAGTGGTATTTGATTAAAAAGTATGGATTTATGAAGTTGACTAAAAACAATGTCCACTTGACGTCAAACACTTAATGAATACTCTTCACGTGATGTGTGACGTGCATGTGATGGACGTAAACTAAGGAAGCGAAACGAGCTGTCTGCTTTTATAATTACAATTCGGACTTCTTTTTCAAATTCTCTYGAATCAATKAAGAATTTTGCGTACTATTCTCTCACACTTTCAGTCTTGTTTGTGATTTTCGTTTAATCGAATAAACGTTGTGGAAAAAGGGTTTCACTTAACACAAGSCGCATATAAAARCTAYGGTGGAAGAATTCAATATCAATAAACGTCTGGCCGCAAGTGTACAAGGGAAATTGCATAAGATGCTTGATATTACCTCATAGTGGTTGTTTATTACAAAAATAAAACGTTTTTTCTTGTTTGATTGTATTTCTTGACAKTTTTTKKGGGGATATATTGCATTCCTCTACCGAGTTCTAATCAGCCTGTCGTCTTTTTGTTTTGTCAGGGATCGAACTGTCTGCCGTCTAGAAACCAGTCAGATTAGCTTACGTAATGGCACCGAGGTCATTCTGGYGAGATGARACGCCAACTTGTAGTCAATTCTTGTTTACAAATCGATGCTGCTCAGTAATGGTCGTAAGTACTGATGTTAATGYTGATATATATCGTCGTATGACGTAAGTACGATACTGTTGTCACGTGATATCAGGACAGCGCACATTAAGTGAACTGACAAAGTGTGATGATGGAAACCCCCATACATCGGGCAACTATAAAATACAATACTCAAAGAAAATGGGCGATTTATTTGCGCATAGTTACTTAGTGGGTAGGCTGATGGTCACCATAAAAAATGACTGCTATAGTGACCCCCATACATCGGCCACACATAAAGAATAATAACCATGTAAAATGAGCAACCGTTTAATACGGTCAAATAACGACCAGTTTGCTGCAATTCACCATACAAAATGACTGCTATGGTGACCCCCATACATCGGCCACCTATTTGTAAAATACGGCCAAATACCCACCAGTTTGCTGATCGCGATCACYATACAAAATGACTATGGTGACCCCAATACATTTGCCATATATATCAGACAATTACTAGAGAAAACTGAAAACTCTTTAGTACGGTCACCAACACATACCGACCATTTCATATCAGTAGKGCTGATGTTGTGTCGAGTTTCCTTTATTCATTTTCAGCAATTTCAGAAATGTCTATTTTCGGTAAAGTATCCATTCGATTTTCTGTGGGTAATATCTGACCGTAATATATATTTTTTGGAATACTTTACTATATACTCTGTTGTCACAAATCAGTGAAGATTTATTACATGGAGCTAATCTAATATACGACTAATTGGCTGGGATCAAAATAGGTAAGTGGTTTACAAGTGTTGTGTTATTTTATGGATATTAGTGCTGCATTCACTGTTCACAATAAACTCTTAAATCAAACTGATTTGATCGTCATTTCGTGTCCTTTTGGTTTAGACTTGAACTCTGACTGATCACGTGACTAGGTGGATTTGCCAAAAAAGGTAATTTTGAAACAAACACTATAGGTGCCAATGTTTGCTTTTATTGTATGTTTAAAGTCGCTTAAGTCGCTAATCAGAGAACGGTTTGATTCCTTCGTGTATCTTTAAGGCTGATTTACACGGTACGATTTGTCGCGCGCGACTTGTAGTATACGATTTTCCTACTACAAGTCGTAGGATTTTAAGCAGTGGTTCAAAACCCTAGTACAAGTCGTAGGTTGCGTACGACTGTTGTAGACAAGTCGTAGGGACATTTACACTGCGCGATTCAAGTCGTATACTACAAGTCGCACGAGACAATCGTGCCGTGTAAATCAGCCTTTAGAGTTTGTCTTTTAGTCACTTACATACAGGATTGTGTGTTAATGTGAAGTTAGAATGAGGTATTTTTCGTGTACTGATTTGCAGTTTATTTTGTGGTGATCATGTTATTACAGCTATTAAAGCTTTTGTTTGCGGTGGGCGTAAAGCTATTCTAAATTGCTGTTCCACAGCGCCTATCTTATCGGATCTTATTATTCAGTGTGTTTATAGGTGAAACATAAACCTTTATAGCTAACGTCACAAAGTAGAATATGAAATWGTGAGAGAAACTGATTTTAAAGACTAATATTTCCTTGTATGTGGGAACCATTCTTGAGATAGTGACGTCATCTTGCTTTTAATGGCGATAAAGGCACACGGCGTGTTGCTTTTAGTTACTTATAACAAGTAATTAGACTAGAGTTTAGATGGCTATACCCGCGCATCATGGCCACCTGCGAGCTGTCCATCTACTGACAATATATCCGACATACTTGTAGTACACTTTGACACTGTTGATGAAGAGAAATATAATCAGAGCGGTAAGCCTGTTAGATCGCACGTTTACACCGTCATTTGATTTTAAATTTTCTTCCCTGGTCATTCGCTCTCTCGTTTATTGATTAATTGATTGGTTCATTCCCGTATGCCATTAGTCGGACTCTCTTTGGACTCGTAAAAATAAGCCAAAAATCATCACGAAGCACGAGAAGAAAGAGGAGCGCATTATGAGGGGGAGGGGGGGTGGGGTGGGGGCTAGTAGAGACTCATTTGAACATTCATTCATTTTTCAATTAATGATACATTGTGTTATTCATACTTGGGTCTACGTGACGGGTGTTTCCCAGTATTAATGCACGGTTTATCTTAATGCAATTTGAAATTGTTTAGAAACGCGTTCACTTAAGCTCAAGATGTCTGTGACACTTTATAAGAGACAAAAATAAAAGAGTTAAAGTAATAATATTAATCTTACTATAGTATCTCCCCGGTCCACTTAAAGTACAGGGAGACATCACGTACCATATTATTTAGGTATCTCTATTAGAGTTTTTGAAATACACCTAGACCTCGTCCGTCGGTTCGTATCGATCGAGGATATTGCGAGTATACTACCGTATACTTCACTCTCTTCTTGGAGTACAGAGAGATAGCAGAGTCATTAGAAGACAAAACGTAGTGCCTTAACAATRAACAAGAAAGACTGTATTAAGTAATGTCCACGGATTTAGAGTGCCAATCCTACATTCCATATAGCTTTTGTATAAGGAAGCAGTAACTCGGATGTTCAATATTTTTGTGTAAAAACAGTAATATTCATTGATATTAATATTCGTTTGTGGTTTGGCTCATTTAGAACTGTTTTACTGAGGTTTCGTTATCATCATGATAATGGCATTACTATACTCTGTAAAAAAATGTGAACAGATTAGACAACACTATACTACTCCAAAGGTTTTTTCTAGGGATAGAATGYTATGTGATTCTATGACAAGTATTTTTGTAACATTGTTGTTTTTAATGCTATGATTAAAACACATGGTTCCCTTGTTAAGAATAATATCGAAAAYAATATGTTTTCTTAATCCAAACAACATTGCTTTTAATCATGATACACTTTTTGTTGATCAAAAATAGTAAACAAACAACACGTTTTTTAGATCAAAAATAGGATATTTATATCCCCCTTGTGTTGATAAAAACTTAGATTATGCATATAATAATTTTTTAGAAACGATAAACACTTTAAATCTTGGGTACTTTACCAATTCTTAGAGTATTTAGGCCTCTGACATATCTAATTATGCTTGTAATAGATAACTAAGCTTATTAACTTTCTCAATTTCTCTTTCAACGATAGTTGTACGTACTTTTCATTTTTTTTTGTCTGCCAAAACGAATGACGTTAAAGCTGTTGGGTCGATTGTAAGGCAAACAACATCCAACGTTTGACGTCACAATCCCTTTGATTATGTTCAAGTAATAATCAAACTTTTGACAAACTGGGTAAATATCTCAAGGGATGTTATTAAATACGACGCCGAATTGACCTGTTGACTCAAGACTCAAGGCAGCAGTCGTCATTTTGTTTGATATGCTTTCACTTTTTGTCGTCTTATATTGATCGCAATTTGACGTCGTATTTTGTGGCAGTGTGAAACACTTGGTTCTTCCGGAAAGACTAGAGCTAATTGTRATTTAAAACCCTTCAGTTATAACTGATTCTTTGTAGTTAAATCACGTGATTTGGATTCTTGAAATTCGTTGTCTTTCTTGACCGCAAATTTAATCGTTGTAGGTGTGGTCAAAATAGCGGCAACGCAGCCAGAATTGGTGTTACCTCGAGCTATCACGAATAACAACAAAAATTCACCGCCGTCAATTGGGCGATGAAGGCGTACCTTGCACCTGTCCATCCCAGGTGTTAAACACGTTCCTTTCAKTTCCACTGAATTTCTCGCAATAATTATTTTCGCTTGTTCAGAGGGCGTGGCATCACGCTGCTGATCATGTGACGGTTGTATATATTTACTKTAAGGATCAGAGCTTTTTTAKAATTCAAATTCTGTCAAAAGGGGCGTGGCCTTCACACTGCTGACGACGTGACATCATAYACGTTATAAACGGCTCCTTAACTTTAAAAACCTTTTATCTACTTGTGAGGGTTTAAAAGACGGTTAGATACTGATCACGGCTGCAATGTCTTATAATTTGCGATAAAGTAAAGCYATGCAGCTCCAGCTGTTTTGATTGTATTAAAATCTCATTACTGCAAATCTTAACTTGCCGCATGTTATCTCATTGAAAAGAGCCAATCGGATACCACTWTGTCTCGTCAAATAGAAATAAATGTTCGGTAGAACTGTGGATCGTTATTGCCCCCACACTTCCGGGAACAACGATTTTGTTYCTTCATTCGCTTGATTTCAGTACAGTTTTTTCACACAAGAACCAATGCATAGTACAGAGAAGGTATGGTGCCATGATAATAACTA